CATCTGTCATACTTTAGCTGCCATCTGTTCCACTTTCCAACGTTAATTTCGAATTACATTTTGAACGAAACTTTATAACAAATATATTTGGCCGATCCGTTCCTAATTATTTTAATTCCTGTACGCTGTTGGTTGGAGTCAAGTTGAGTCATCCATAACAAACACACTGCAGCACCGTTGGGTGACTGAAAGAATCATTTAACGGCACCAACATCTGCTAGACTTCAAAGACAAGGAGGCTGTGGGGTGTAGGTAGTATAAAGTGGGTGAACATTGTTAGTAATTCTATTATGCTTGTACACAAATCCGCACCTGAACGTATGATAAATTACACACGCCGAGAACCACATGACAAGTTAACTGTCCGCCGTACCTTTAAGTGTGTGGACGTGAGCAGCGGAATAAAAAGGCATTTTCATTAAATATGGCTTGCCTTCTACACGTAAAGGCACACATTGGATTAGGTATCGTCGGAATTAAAACTCATGGGTAAATTATAGAGAGTAAGCGAGGCGAGTCAACAGGAAACGCTGTATGTGGGTGGTTTTCAACTATGCTTAGTGGTCTCGGACGTTTGAGAAGCATGTTGCATTAAGCCTAACAATTTGCATGAAATGGTTAAGTTACAGTTCATCTTGTTAGCAACAATTAGCCGGGGTACGCATCATAATAATCATTAAATATTAGAATAAACATCATTTGCCATTTCGATGACTGGAAACGCAAAAGTTAAATTTACGTATTTTTCCGTCGCCACAAAATCTACTCGACAAGCTACCTGGAAGCTTAATATCATATATACTTACTTTAAGAAAAATCTGAGTTGTGTGAGTACTCTCAACTCACTTATTGCTTTCAAGTAAGTCAAATGAAGTAATTAGGGAGAACAGATGTTTGCATTCAATGCACACATGAGAACCTTGAAGCTATTAGCCATCTCGGCATTTCAAGCTGCCTAAAACAGTTTGTTGAAGCGCAACTTAAGTTACAAATACAATAGCGCCTTAAAAAACGTTCGCGTTTATTATGAATTGGCTACGTCACCAATTAGGCACTCGGTTATTCACCAAAAGAATGGGGTTACACCAGGTGAATCAATGGGAGTTGAACATTTCTTTGTAAAAACACAAATGTAGGCAACCTGCATTCCCAAGAATAGTGGATGAAGCAATAAATAAGTGTATAAACAAAATATTCTGAGATTCACTCTGATTTGCACTTTTTCTCATGCAAAGTTGTTGAGAAATTAGATCTGGACTATCCTCGAGACCCGGAGTAAAACTCTCCGGGGTTATCTACGGAACCTTATTTGTCTCACAAAGTTACTTTAAGAGAAAAAAAGTTTTTAGCAGATAAGTAAACAAACGAAGAGTCTGCAGGTTGTAGTTTTTAGTTTGCAAAAAGGATCCAATCAAAGCGGCAAAAAGGTAGTATAAATTTTGAAAACGCCACTGTATTTAATTTAAATAAGTATTTTATAGTCCTCAGAGTTGTTTGACACGAAAACGTTCATTGACGACTGATATTCTTAACAGCCAATGGTTGAAATTCCTGCTCAATTGAATTGGCACATTAGAAGATCTGTTTGATGTATAAAATGTTGATAAGAAGGTTTTCGATAAGACAGTGTCATTTTAAATCAGATGCATTCACAAATTTTTATGAAACTCGAGCAAAGTTACAATTCAGGCGATGTTCAGAAAGCACTCAAACTATCAGAACCGTCAGGGTGAAGGAGAAAAAACCAGCACAGTCCATCACCACCGGATTGTGATCCAAAAGAATGTTCAAAAAGGCAGGTAACTTGGGGAACAAAGAACCGTACGGAGTGATTTCATGTGTTATCGGATTTGTTGGAAAAACAATAATAACCCTCAAGAGATGTTTTGGAGCGTAATTAACTAGTCGAATGAACTGTAAATGCATTGTGTAAAACCGTATTCAACATAAAATCAAATTTCTCAGCCAAACGTCAATTTAATAAATTGTGTAAAATCTGAAGAAACCGTCAGTCACTTCGCCCACAACGAATGAAAAACTGCATATTTGTCTTAAATGATAAAAATGAAGGAAAAGTACCATATCAGTTCGACTGGTTAACGAATGAACGAGGTACAAGATTTGTAGTTTTAAGGAATCACTAATGGCCAACAAAAATTTAAAAATTCTACGTCTCTCTTGTAAACCATTATCTTGACAGATATTGTGAAACGAGTGAAAAAATAGGCATAACCAGAAGACGATCACTTGGGTCCATCAAATTGGCACTGAAACCTATATGTCCATAAGATGGAAATGTTAAGGATGATCTTCCATGCTGGATAAATATATACTACCAAAGAAAATAATCAGTCTCGATTAAAAGAACCTAGCTGAATAGCACCAGTTGTGTAGTTGCAAAAAAGGTTAAGGACTCAATTCTGTAGTGAACAGTCAGCAATCGCGTTTGGGTGGAGCTTGTTTACAAGACGGATTGATGTCAATGACTCGCCCTGTTTACATTGGTTACTGTTATCGGTCGCCTGACACGCTACCTCTCTCGTGCCCACACAAAGATACATTTTGCTGGCCTGACGCGAATCGACGGTACTATCCCCTGGCATCTCTTCTGTTTTCAGGCTGTTGCGGCCTGTGACCTAGCAGGGTTGTAAGGTAGTGCTAGCGAACCACTACGTTTGGTGACCCCAACATGATGCAGGCTCAGTGACGTGTATATTGTAAGACATATGAGATTAATTGGTAAGATGGGTGGCTTCGATAATAGGTCTACTCGAACTATGCCTCACTAGCAGTGTGGCATCGATCCACGAGGAGACACAACGCCTCCAGACATTGGTGATGGCCTTCGCGTGGACTAATTTCGTCTTCGGCGCCACACCCCCCGACCCCACCAACGCAGATGCGACAGTTCCCTCTTATTTTCACTGCGACAGGTGTTCAGCGCCCAACTGTTTGTGCCTATTTTCTGTCTCAGTTTGGTCTACTAGTTGACGTTGGACAGCACAAAGTCATTGACCCAAATAATAATTTATCCATACGAGGAATTCCTGCTTCTATAAATTACCTGGAACTCCGTTTGGTATTTATCGATTCTAACAGGTATGAATAAACCTTGGAGGAGTTTCCCGAAAGTGTCAAGGTGACCCTGAGACTGCAAACCTACTCACCAAGTCCTGCAACATATCGTCAACAAAGGTCAACCAACAACAGCTAAGGAATGACATGCATCTGATAAGCTCGGAGCAGCTGAGGTAGGGTCTAAGGGTGCGTGCCGTCTTGGCATAGCTCGCCCCTCCAACAGCCCTTGGGTGGCGCCTTTGCACCCGGTGCCTAAGAAATTTGGAGACCTTGATGCAATTACAGAGCCCTAAATAATGTCAATTCCTGACCGGTACCCCATTCTCCATATCCACGACAATTCCTTGGGTTTAGACTGTGTTAAAGTACTTTCCACACTAGACCTTGGCCGGGCCTGACATCAGATACCTGTTGCCGCCTTGAAGGTGTCCCCAAACTGCCATTATTACATTATCCCGGTTATTCGAATTCCTACGTATGCCTGCTGTTTTACCCAATGCAGGTCCGATTTTTCAGAGATTCATGGACCAAATTCCACCTGATTTCGATTTCGTCTTTACCTACATTGATGATATTTTCATCACCAGCAAAGACAACGACTAATATTCGCTGCATCTGAGGCAAGTTTCCACCCTTCTAAAAGCTGATGGTATTACGGAAAAACCTCAAAAATGCATTATCGGAGTAGAGAGTGTTGAGTTTCTCAGATACTAAATTGATGCAGACGGTGTCGGACCACTGACTGAGAAGACAGCAGCGATTCGGGACTAAGTAATGCTGGAATCACCCGGTGCTTTTTGTCATTTTCTCGGTTTGGTCAACTACTATGCACATTTCCTTCCATATGCCGTCGATGTTTTGTCTCCACTGACCGACTAGCTCCACAAGAATCCCTAGAAGCTAACGCTCACTCGGGAAGCTATAACAAGTGTCACGAACTTTTGCTACTACTGGAATAGGGAGCAAAGCTTGTCTTGCGAACGGATGCTTCCCAAACTGCAGTTAGCAAAGTCCTACAAAAGGAGCTGGATGGCTGTACTGAGCCGTTATCCTTCTTTCCTGAAGGCTGCAACCGGCTCAGGCTCATTACAGCACATTCTCCAGGATACTATTGTTGAGTTACCTTGCCGTGAAACAATTCGAACACCTGCTAGAGGGACGATTATAAGCCCTCAATTTGTGCATCCTACTCAGAATCTGACCAGTATTCTCGAAGTGAATCCAATTACCTTGACAACGTTTCACAATTCACAAGTAGTATTCGCCATGTTGAAGGGACTGACAACGTCATGGCCGGCGCGCTTTCTCGAGCACAAATGCACAACCTTTCAGTTTCTGGTATCGATACTGAACATTTAGCTGCGGCGATGACGAATGACTCTGAGATATGAAAATTCTTTAAAATTCTAGTCTAAAGCTAAAAGAGCTTCCACTCCCTCAATGTTCCACGAAAACTACATACGGAATGTCAATCGGCAGACCTCGACCTCATATTCCTGCCTAATTAAGAGGGGAGACATTTGAGTATCCCCAATCGCTTTCGCACCATGGCATTCGCTTTACTATGCACTTGGTAACGGACCGTTTTGATTGGCTTACCATTCACAAAAAATGTTCTCTTATGAGCCAAACACTCCAATCAATGCCAGCACAGCAATGGCTTAATGTTACACAATCAGGACATTCCCTCCCCTCGAACGCGCGTTTCCGACGTGTGCATATATATCTGGTTGGACCTCTTGCACTGTCTCGTGGACTTACCTGTGTACTCGCCTGTTTGGACCCGTTAGCCCATGGCAGCTTCCATTAAAGACAGTGTAACCGAAGGTGTTGACCATGCGTTCATGGATATCGGTGTTCGCTGTACCCAGTTATCTTACCTTTGATTGCAGTTCACATTTCACATTTTGTTTCAGGATTGAAATCGTCTTCGTCGATGCAAACATTTTCGTACTACAACATATCACGCGCTAAAAATTTCATGGCAATCAGGAAGCCAGTTTTTTGGCTTTTAGACTCCTGTAACTGTGAGAAAGTTAATATTCCTTGTGAGCAAGTTCTTCTATAAAGTGAAAAGGGCTTTGCCTGGATAAAATTATTTATCAGTAGTACGCGCAAGTCATTTTGTCGGTTGTATTCAATCCAAATCAGGAAAAAATCAGCCGCACAATTGCCCCCTTTGTAGGTTTTATATGGTAGAGCCCAAAACGACTGCTTTGATTGTCATTTTCGAATGCATCATGCAATATAAATTATGAAGAGCAATATGACTTCTCATTATTATACACACATATTCTATTGAGCTGATGTTCCGTACGGCTACAATATATTTACTGAGAAAGAACGGATGAGTAGATACTCAATAATTTGTGCACCAGTTTTTTTGCGGCCTTTTTAAGTTTGATTGAGTCAAAGAACAAATTCACTGTAGTTCCTTCCGTCTCCTTACACTACCCATTGAAGAAGACATATTCATCACTGAATGTAAGGGGTATAATTTAAATTGTACAGATTTTATCTTCGAGCTTAAAACCAAATTTAAAATAAAAACATTTGTTGCGGTCTTTTATGGTTTTAAAGGATCGGATGCAAGGTTTCAAACACCAAACGATAGGTCAATGTGAGTCACATAACCTCTTTTAATAGCGCATTCGCTATTGCATTTTGTACGAACTCGAACAAGGAAAATATGCAACTAAAGCACAGGAATCAATTTGTAGTGTTCTTGGTGCCGACTTTGTGTCTTATGAAACTGACAGTTATTGGTAAAAACGCTTTAGAAGGAATAAGTTCGACCGTAGTGACCAGCCGCAACCCGGATAGCAGCATCAAGAGTTTAAAAATGATCAAGTGCAAGCTCTACTGGATGAAAGCTCAACGCAAATGCGACAAGAGCTTGCAGCTCAATTAGAAGTCACCTAAGCAACCTTTCCAAGCGCTTGCACCACATGGAATGAATTCAGAGACTCAAAAGTTGGGTTCCACGTATGCTGGCCAAAAACAACCTAGGTCAATGCATGAACACATGCATTTCACTACTTGCCCGCTGGCAACAAAAAAGGACTTCTTGTGGATACTTATGACGAGTGATGAAAAGCCAAATTTCACGACAATGCCAAACGTAAATAGTCGTGGGTAGATCTCGGCCAACCCAGTCCTGTGTATTTGATGGGACGCTAAGGGTGTGCTTTATTACGAAGTCCTGAGAACTGGTAGTCAGGCTATTTAACGCTACAGCTGACAATTGGACAAACTGAGAGAAGGAATTAATCAGAAAAGACCATTTACTGAACAAGGAAGCAGGCAAGTCATACTGCTGCTGCATGACAACGCTCGATCAAACGTTACTCACGCGACTCAGGAGACCTTTCTGAAATCGGGACGGGAATTTCTCCCACAAGCGGTGTAATTACCAGACTTGGCCCCATCCGACTATTAGTTGTTCCGGTCAGAGAAGCAGTAAGCATTAGTGGATAAAGATTTCAAATTACTGGAAGATGTACGTAAATTCGTCGACAGCGACTTTATTCCCTCGAAGCCTGTCTTTCGCGGCTGCATTCGTACGTTACTTGACAGATGGCGCAAGGTCGCCGAAAATGCTGGACAGTATTTCCAAGATTAAGTTAGTTGTCATCTTTTTTTCATATTAAAGAAAGTAGCACATAATCTGTACAAATTAAGTCATCCACCAAATATTGAGTGCAGTACTATAGTTCTTCCATGGGATCCGAGTTGTCATTACCTCATTTGCAACAGTGTATGCAATCACGTACCAACAAATAAACTCAAAACTATTCAGGATTATCCGAAAGAAGGACCTCTGCACCCTTTTTAAGTTAAAAAATACTCCTATGTTCTGGTAAAGATTTAAAATTTGTATTAGCAATACATATTGCTTGAATAATTATTCAGCAAATTTTTCATGGATCGTGTAAATAATTACTGACAACTGTCCAGAACGAATAGTCATGTCTATAAGATGTCAATGAAATCGGTTGTTTTCGAGATGTAGTTACAGCTTTAAATTAATGTTAGAATAAACGTAACTCTTTTTTGTTAGATTACTTCGAGTCCAGTTTGTGGAGATTTTCTTGCAATCCGCCGATTTAGGTTGCCCGCCGATGTAGCGGTCGGAGATCAGTATTTTTTAGTTGAAATGAGTAGCAAAGTTGATGAATTTTGTGATATCTTGGGTATTGTTGTTACTTGTTCCTTTTTTACTGTAGGCTGTGATTCGAATACTGCTAAGTCTTTCCTGGACGCATATGGTGGTGACCTGGAGGTGGCCGTAAACATGTTTATGTCACATTCAAATGCGACTGTTTCTCAAGAATATCTGCCCCATACTTCTTCGGTGCACCAACCAGCAAGATCACCGAAAGGTGAGAACTTCTAGATACGTGGTGCTGTCTTCACCATTCCTTTTACAGTTCATATTTACACTTTTAAATGGGATATAATGACCGTTAATTCTTTTATTGTTTTAAATAGCTGACGTTTTACCTTTAGCTTTGCGATCTCGTAATCAGTCCGCATTTTCAAGACGCCGTATCGTCGTTGCTGACGAAAATGTAGTCCAAAGCGTTGATTTAACTTCCGAGGAAGGCAGCGATCAGTCACCGAAACCGTCGTCTATAACCAATGATCACGTACGTTTTTACCAGAGGCTTTTTGTCACATTTGCTCGATGTCATAATTCTTCTTGAAATTGATTCCCCTTATTGACCTACTAATAACTTGCAACTGCTCTCGTCTGTAACAAATCCCATGCGCTTTTTAAATCCCGGACCCGTATACGTTTTTCCTGAACTTAATCACAAAGGTTTGTGTAATTTCTCTGAAGGCCGCTGAACAGGACCCCCGAAATCAGCATTCCTCGTCAAGCAAAAAAGAAGACATTCTCGGTCGTCTTTTTGCTCCACCCTCCCATATTCTATTCAGAGGCAGCCTACGTGAAGTATGTTCCTCGTCGTTAACTTCAATGTTTAATCACGTTTCATCTCCGATTTGTACTCTAGGGACTACCGATAAATATGTGCAGTTTTCGTCGATTTTGTCCCCAAATTGCTCAGCACAAAATTGTTTTTTCGAAAGTTTTTACTTGAGGCACCCATGTTTTCTAACTGAATTATTCGAATACATGGCGCAAGGTATACCTGAGCCGAGACTTTACCGCTATTTTGTTTAAGCCGTCAAAATTTCCACAATCGTCCAAGGTATCTTGTCTCCAAACTGGTTTAGTAAATGTTGGTCCGTCTAGTTACTGGATGTCGCTGTCTGTCAGCTCTGTTTGAATGACACCATCTTTCTTTAGGCATTTATTATCTAGTCTTGTTACTAGAATGTTTTAGTAAACTCGGTACCTCGGAAATCTTTACATAGCTTTCTGTGTGAAGTATTTTTGTCGACTACGTATTGTTGGTCTTGACGTCTCACTAAAGTGAATTCAATATTCGTACCTGCCTGCACAGTGGCCCTAGTATTTACTGGACAGTGCTCAATCATTGGACACCAGTCAATAGGTTAGTAATTTCACTCACCAATCAATCACGAGTATTTAAAAAGCGGGCTTAACCAAAAACTTTGAATGCACCGATAAATACAGTCTCGTGTTTTGAAGTTCAACCATGAGGTAGTTAAAAAGATTGCCTGGATAACACTATCAATCAAGGAACTACCTCGTACGCCGTTCTCCATAGTCATTTTTGTTGCCAAATTCGTCATCTGCATTTTTCACATTGGTTGTGGGTTTTTATTTTCACTCGAAATGGCTGCTGTATAGTTCGTGGAGTAAATAGAGGTATATTTAAAAAGAACATTTATCTATAAATGCGACAATTTACTTACTAGAAAACTATATTTCAAATTATTTTTATGTGTTCCTTGGGTGTTGTGATTCACTGCCTGTCGCCAATTGCCAATTTCAATATTGACTGCACGTTAAAGTTATCCACCGCTATCTTTCAGTCAAATTTGTATTTGTCAGTCAGGCACTTATCACCATGAGGCCCTCCTTCTGGGCTATCCAAAGGAGTTTCTCAGTGGTTATTACTCTTCCTCAAGGCCCCGTCAATCAACCTTTATATCCATGAGTTAACCACTCATTCCATCGGCGTACACTATTCCAAACTTCCCATTTAGTAGTTAAAATTTCCTATTATTCGCAGCACCAAGCCAATGGTCAATGAGCGTTTAGATAAATCTGTGCCCGAATAAATTGCCGTAGTAATGCCTCACCCTACATTTTGAAATATGTGACAATGCCTCTAAATAACGATGCCTATATCGGGCCCGCCCGCTAATTAGTCTTTTTCTCCGCTCATCATTTCTCGAATTTGGCTGTCCTTGGTAGACGGTAATAACTTTCAACCTTTTCCCCAACCAACAGACACAAAACAGTAGCAGTTTCCCAGCATTATCTCCTTGCTGGAATTTAAAAGCAGTCTTCTTCTGGAGTAATCACGAATTTTCATCCAACAAGTTACTTTGTGTCTTTTAAACTAAAAATTAAAGTAGGATCACGGTTCGTGTACAAAAATTATGCAAACACGGACAGCAGCTTACACAGAGGAAACCGTTACCATTCGTTCCTGAATTAGATCTCGCTTAAACTCAGTCCGTCCCGAATAAAATGGGGGATCAGGCGTTACTATACCCATCAAACTGTTTTAAACGCAGTTGAGCTTATTTCACAAGCATGTACTGCCTTGCTCCGAGGTCTTCTACACCAATTCATGAAGCTGTTTTTACTTATCCAGATTTAATTTTTTTTCTCTGTCTGCTTAGTGGGTTTAACTGATAACCACTTTGTATACTTAACCGCAAGTGTACCGTCGTCACGAGCTGAAGGCTTGTGCTATTCCTGTTGGCAACCTCATTTTTAGGGCTCCTGAATTACTCACCTTAATATAGCAGTATTAATTTGTATTTGAGTAATTTATGTTGGAATTTAACTTTTTATTGTGTGAATGCTTCTAGTCTTGCCTTTTATGGTTTTATTATTATTATTATTCGATTTTTGAATAACTTCCACTTGTTGTCACCAATAAACAATAGGTGATAGCCTGTATGATTAAGTGGCCGTTATGCAGAAGTTAACTTTTAACAAGGTTTTCTCACAGGCTTTATTAACAACGGATGCGTGAAATCGTTCTTCCCTAGTCGCTTTTCTGTTTGCGTGGGCCTGTTTGAAAATGGGCCTCTGCGTTTGTTCTCTACTTCAATTTTGAGTCGCACTCGGGATGTTTTTTCCCCAAAAATTCAAGTGCACTGCTTGCACATGGCCTCTTCATTCAAGCTGGTGTTGGTTTAACCTTTTTGCAGGTTGCCTTTATAAATGTGACCATTTTTCTTTTGCCTCTAGGCCATCCAAGCTGCAAGAAATCAGAAACGTTGGCTTCTGGTGAGCATTCACGACGAGGCATGTTTTGATTGCCACGTTCTCAATCGGGACGTTTGGAAGGACCACCGAGTAGCCGATCTCATAAAAAATCATATGGTTTTCGTCCAGGTGAGAGATACCGATGTTCAATTTTTGCTTTGGATTTCTAAATGCTACTTCAAAATAACGCAGAATTCGAACTAATGTAAAGCTGGCGGAAAGTGTATTTTGTTCTCCTGTGCCGATTTCTTGGGCCGAGCTACATGTGTCCGAACGTATCCAGCCATCCTACATGCCTATAACAAATCTAGGTTGTGTTATAAATATTAAGCTCATTGGTTCTTTCACCATTATGTAGGTTTAATGTGTAACTTCTTTTTTGCCTAATGCAATCCCTAGTTCGCATCGTTTTAATGAGTTTAGAAAGTTACCGCGATGAAGTCTCTTGAGTGAATTATGCATTCACCTTTACGGGAAAAGGTGCTTGAATGTCTATTTGTATCCAAGTCAAAATAACCTATCAAAACCAGAACCCCATTATTTTCCTATTGTGGAATGCCTTTAACTGCAAGACTTTATCATTCTGATGAACCTAATGACAAATGAGGAAATCCGTCAAATGATCTGAGGACGTCGGATTCCAGGCACTTTTAAATCCATTATTTTCCTTTCCTCTCCGATGCCGCAGTTAGTTAATGCAGTGAGTAGTGCTACCTAGCAATCACCGACCACCATGAATTAATGTAGTGTTTTATCTCTTATGAGTACAAAGGACTGCGAAACACTGATTCATTTTGGCCATAACTGAAATGTAGTTTCGTGGGCTTTCTGGCCCCTCGAACCACTGTATAGGTCTCACTGCAAAATGAGTTTAACGTTCCCAAGCTTGCATCCACTGTTGGACTGCCAACATCCAACAATCCACAAAATAGTAGCTCAACTGGCTCATAACCTCACGTGTCTCTACTTTATCGTAGTTGTTGACTTAGGCACGATTTACTGCTGAAATCATTTTGACGCATCCGGTCATGCAGGCCAACGCATTTCTTTAACGTACCATGCTGATAAGATCCACCAACTGTTCTTGTCTAGTAGGATTTTGTCAGTAGAGTGCAGTGAACGAAATCAACTACTGACGCCCATATTTGCCTTTGTTCAAATGTGGCATGTTATGCGATATTATTCTGGTATCTGATTGAACGGTCATCGAATGGCGAGTCCTTTGGTCATTGTTTGGTTCCGTAATACTCACATAGACCCCTTAGCGAGCATTGATTAACAAGCCTTGAGAAATATCAGCAGTAAACTGTTTTTCTGAAGTTGGTTCCGGCACGTATCTTACTTTAATATTTGCAGACAGGTGTGCTACTGAAGAAATTAATAACTAGAAATGCAGTTTGTTTGCTCACAATGGTCTTGTTTATCCACAGAAAGATACTCGGAAGTATTTACCACTGCAATATACTTCAGGTCGCTCACTGGCCTTGTGTCTTATGTCTTTTGGTGTTATCCAAATATATTTGAGCAGATGTTGTGCAGAGCAAAGTCTCTTCGTCACATTTCCGGAAAAAAATGCGTGCTTGAGGAGTTTTTTGTCGAATTAGGTGATAGCACACGAAATCGGTAGGGAGTTGTGGATGTCCATGTCGTGTAGGACCCGTCCTTTAAAAATATAACCTCATACCGATTTACGCCTTTTGTATTGTGTTTTCCTAGCTTGACGTTAACGCCCCAGACGGGGTGATGTACAGAAGCCATTTCTCTTACGTGAACTCGGCAGTACATATCGCAATTATAAACCCCGTAACTGGTGTTCAAGAGATGTTCTGGACTCATCTGAAAACGCCTGATATTGTGTTCACTGTTTGTAAGTCCTATTATCCATTTTTTTGTTTAACCGTAGGTTTATTCGTGTAATATCAAGTGTGGTTGAATTGTAAAACCTATTTGACAATGATTGACACCTATTTTGGCTTTTAAAAGCCTTTGACATTTCGTATTCAGAATATTCTAATGTGTAAGGGCTCGAACAACGCGACTACGTCTCCATAATGTGAGAATTAACACGCCTGTCGAGTCGTATGCGTAGTATTAAAGTAATTCGTGTAGAATTCACTAAGTTAAAGTGGTTATTATGAAGATTATTTGTTGGTTATGCACAAGTGCCTCAGTTTCATTGGTACTGTTTTCCCAGGTGAATCCCATGTAGAAAGTTAGCACCGTGGTGGACATTAAATGAGTGAAATTAGGTCTTATTTAATCGGTCATCAAAACCGATCGTTGTCAATGAGTGTGCCCGCTACCACAGAAGCTGTGATATTATGCTTAGACAAGCTGTGAAGTCACCCAACTTGAGAAGCAACCTAAATTTAAAACAATTTCATGCTTGAAAATCATGGTGTTCAGGTCCTACAATGCGGAATTATCTACGCCATTTTGGGGTAGTTAAACCACAAATTTTATCCAATCTGAAAGGCGCCCTCCAAATAGAGCATTAAATGTGTAATATTAACCCACCATTTAAAACCCGTGCCTTATCTATCGGTGCCATGACACTTTATCGATTAATGTCGTTAGTCACTGGGCGGGTGGTTGAACCAGTCCGTGGAATAGCACTTTTGCTGCGATCGCTTCAGATGTCACGGAAACCTGCGTTGCAATTTATCCCAGCCAATATACGAGCATCTTATCCTGGCCCAATGGCAGGTTCGCGTCTCTGCCGTGGCTGGTTTTGAAATCGAACCTTGGACGGCGTAATCTGAAGTAACCATGCTAAAATAAAAAAATGACAAAATTCATCACAGTGTTGCCATATCATGGTTGTCATGTAAACTGCAATCAGCATGATTCCACTATCTGCCAGTTTTCGATCCACGAACCTTTTGCCCTTTTCCACACACGCACACACACACACACACCCTGGGTACGTTAGAACCTCTGTTCGTTTCAAACTTACTCAAGCTCTCACATTTATGGGATTTCCGAGGACAAAGCGATGCCTCTGCCTTATAGTCACGGTCAATTTTGGTGCCTTGGGGTTTTCGCCTTCCTCGGAAATATTTCTCAACCCATTTTGCATCTAATTTGATCGAGGTTTGCGGAGTTGTGGTTTTGCATTTCGGCCAATATCTCAGTGTGTGCGTTTTGTCTGTCAAACGGGGATCACCGTGTTAGGATGTAGCTAGTTACCCCGTTGTGAGGTGAAAGTTTATGTATTGACACTAACACCCTGAATGGTTTGATTGGTCCAGCGATTTTCTCTGTAATAATAATCTGAAACTCGTCTTTCTCTGCTTTAGTTACCACTAAATTCTGCTTGGCCACCGACTCACCTGCAACTTCTGGGCTAATTGTTGTCATTCGCCTAAGTCGTTAAGAAATAACTACACCGTGACGAACAACTAGTAAATCGGTAACAGCTTTGCGGGGGACTGCATCCACCTAACCAACTTGCTGCTGTCTTGAGAGCACCCTTAGGAATTTCGGTGATAGTGAAAACGCTATGTTGGAGACACAGCCACTTTTTTGGCCGCCGCGAATTGTGCAAATGTGGCGCGCGTGTGTAGGCGTATTTGTTGGGGTGATTGTGTAAACAGTGAGAACTAGCTGTATGTGGGAACAAATGGACGATTGCAGGGGAGTCTGGGCCGTAACCGTCGCCAGGTTAGCCTGTTCAAACAAACTTAAGCCGACAAGTGCTGCTGCGCATTTAACGTGTAGTACGTCTATCGCCAGTGCTCATTGACGATTTCTTTAATTGCAGTGTCAGATTTCATTCTATTGACTGAATCCCCCAAAGATCCAGATGCAACCTCACCGAAGCCCAGCACTTCTACCTCCTCAGTGGCTCGCCTTCGAAGGCTTCGGCGGCGACACGACTCCTCAGAAGAAGAAGACCGAGGCAACTCAAAGCGGCCTCGATTCTCTGAGGTCTCCAGTCTCACTTCATATTTGGCCTCGGTATCCGTTTCACCCGTAATGATTAATTATATCTAATCTGCGTTCACTACTAATTTCCACAGAAAGGCAATCTGAGTCGACTTTATACCCGACTTCAGCTTCAGTGATCATCAAGACTGCAGCATGCTAGAAACCTAGTAATCTCGTGTCAGTGTGTTTGGCATTTTTTGGAGTCCAAAACCGCCTGAAATTCGATTCTTAATCAACTTTGTCTTAGGTGCAATGGCAATCGGATATTTGATTGACTTATTTCATATTTTCTCGGGTCGCACACATCCTCCGCTCCTCACTACGTTCTTTCTTAAGACACATTTTCTACTATGGGCTCAAACTCCAACATCTACCACTGAGTCAAAATTTTTGACTCCTGGTTTACTGTTTAAACCTGTTAGTTGTGCCAGCTTGGTGTCCATTGCCATAAGCCACCCTTGACCTTTCCACTCAAACCTCTCCGTTTTCAGCTGCACGAAGTGAATCAACCACGGTTCTCATTCGCTCTCCTCGTAAACTTTCCCTGTGGTGAGAGGAGGAGGAGGAAAGATGCAACGCACCTCATTAAAAGCAGAGGTGAAAAAAAGTACCCGGTTGTCGTTGCTGTGCACGCACGTCTTTCCGTAAACTTGATTGGCCGGGCGCACTGACCAATTAGCCGCGTAGCACTTCGTGTGCGCGTTTGCATGCGTGCCTCACTTTTTTTCTTCAACTTTTCCTTGGCGCGAGCTCTTTTTAGCTAGCCTTCAGTCACATATACTCCACCTACTACCAGTAAACTTCTAGAAGAAATATTGCCTTTAGTTGGATTGGCTTCTGTTTTCATCATGCCAGCGTCGAGACCCTAGTGGGAAGCCCTTACCAGTGATAACAGTGCACTACTTTCGCCAGCCATTATGGTCCTTTACTAATCCGGATTAATTCGTGCTTGCGCTACTGACAATCCTATAAATAGGCCTAAGGGCCAAGATATCTGACCTGAAATAGAAAGAAGTTCCTCCTCGTACAAACACGTTGATTTTCGAACTAGGCCACTATCTTGAATGGCATAAACATTCCACTGTTGGTTCTGGTCACCAGTTATGTCGAAAGCGGGCCGCATTTTGTCTACACATGCAGCGATGCGAAAGTACACATGACAGAACTTAGCTTAAAGATGACCTTTTATAAAGTGAACATTTGTCCTTTTTTAAAAGGTGCATGTGGTGAAATGGTCAGTAATAGTTTCGGAATGAATTGATTTTCATGAGGGTATTTTCACTTTTCCTTCTTCGCATTTGCCCGAAGAGTTGTGCCACTTCGCAGTACCTTTTAAATGTCACCTCAGAACCGTCAAACAATTCCGTAACACTATTGCAGCATACTCCTCTTGGACAAACGGATTTAAACGCCTCTGTTCTGGGAAATTCCGTCTTGATGCCATTTCTTGAAAGCGAAAAGCCTGTTCAAAATGTTTGTGTATATGTGAGATAGCGCAATAAGGTCATTGGAAAACTAACACTCGGTCATGCTTCCCCATTTGCACGTGATTCTCACTCGTTACCAAGTATCACGTTCAAACTATTTTTCTTCCCTGTAATTCCTTAATTGACTTTTGTACGCCTTTCTCATCTTACGTATGCCCACATCACCATGTTTAGAGATAAAGCTACATTGATTCAGCATGTCGTGCGTCTGGGGTATTACTTATGTCAAAGCGGATGCCACTGGTGTAGATTTGGCGCTGATTGACCCACGGAAACCTCCGGACTCGCCATCCCTTATGGTGAACATTATTTTAGTATTCGTTCTGCTATATATATATATATATATATATATAT